TTGGCAAAACTTTTTGTAACACTAATCCAATTGGTGTCCACTTTTGAATCAAATTTGTGAGTCTTATAGTGAAACACGTAATGAGTATTATTTGTGATGTGCGACGAAACACCTTATAATCAGTGAATAAAATAAAATATCAAACATTTGGTAATTTGAAAACTATTTAAAAAATTATAATATGAATGTATCTAACGGTTAGATTCTAACCATTGGTAGGTCGGTGTTCACCCTTTGCGTCCAACTCATAGACAAACCAATACTTGTTTTGGTGCCTATTCTCATACAACTGTCCGATCGACTGTATATAATAGCCTAGGCTTGGGAAGTGTATGCCAGTGAACCGGTATTCCTGTGGGTGACGGTGCGATGAGGCGTTCAATGCGTCCAAAATCGTGGCATTTGTTTGACTCCTTTTGTCCATTAATAGCCCAATTGTGTGGGCATTGGAGTCGTCGATGCGTTTCGTAATCGTTATGTTAAAGCCTTGAATATTAAACAAACATTTTATGTGTTTTATATAAATATATCTAAAAATTTATATTAATTTATAAATAGGTTTTAATAACCGATTCATACATACATTCAATATCTGCAGCTATTATTAGCAGATAGAGTGACACATAGAATAGGAATTTCATTGAATTTGTGAACATTTTTTCTAATAATTAAGTTTTAAAATGACTGAAATTTATTATAAATTATGTGTCTAATAAAATACACGACAATTACTCTATTCATTAAATCACACGAAAAATTATCTGTAATTAGTTTTGGCAAAAACATCGCTATTTTTAGAGTCAGCATAAATACAATCATACATTTCCGATAAGAGTTTGTTTATTAATTTTCTAAACACTACTAAAAATCAACAAAAAAATACATTTTTTTCATTTACTGTTTATTTCACAAAACTCTGCTAACTTTTTAACATTTACAAAATTTGTATTAATTAATTTAAAAGGTTTTTATTAATTATCTCTTTTTCACACACAAATAAAACACTATTTGTTTTGTACATTCATATAATTATACGAAAAAAAAGTTTAATTAATTGAATGTTATATAAATCATAAATAATGGACACCCGGACCGGTAGTGTATCGCCACTACTTCTTGAGCTGATTGTATGAGTAGGTGTTGTCCTGTTTGATCAAATCGGAG